GAATTCAGGCAGGAACGCCTTGACGGCGTCGGTTTGCGTGCTTGTAAACAGCGACGACATGATCGCTTCGTGCGACTGCGCAGCTAGTGCATCACCCGTACGGTGAAGTGAGCCATAGCCACTTTAGGCGAGTATGGCCGAGCAAGGCTAATTTGGTCGAGCACATCGATGCGATCCTTTTTGGGCTTGGCGAGCTCCAACAGGATCGCTTCGATGGCGTCGGCAGATGGCGGGACAATAGATGCCTTAGTGTGCCGATTCGACGCAGAGGTAAAACCACGGATCACCTTGTTGAAGTCAAGGGGAGGGCGCGTGGGTCCACTTGCGTCCGCAGACCGAGAAGGTGCAGGCGGTGTCGCAACGTCGGTTCCATCAGCCAATGGGGAAATTCCCCCCACGTTTTGTTTGCAGATTGGACGTGACGAATCCGCGTCAAACGTCGACATTGGGTGGTTTAACTCCGAATTTACCATGTCACGATCACTGATTGGTGGAAACTCCAGATCAGTGTTCGTACTGAGTTTTTCGACGACATCATTGCCGGTTGGTACTTGACGCGAGACCGACGTCAGCGGCGACGGCGTCAGCGGCGCGGAGCTCAATGGAGCCGCCAGCCCAGGTGGACATGGAGGCACGCTGTCCGAGGCCCTAGGGCGGAGCGGAGCAAGCGGAGGCCAAGCGCCACCAGTGGGTGAGCGATCAACCACGTTGGCGTCGACGGGCGGCATGGCTGTCGGCGGTACATCGTTCGGCGGTGTGGGCAACTGCGGGCACGGTAAGTGTCCAACCTCCTGAGTCTCATGGGAACCTTGGGATAGGTCTCCTGAGGCAGCGTCATGGGGTGGACGAGTGGAGGCGTCGGCAGCGAGGGGGCATTGGTTCGACATGGGAAACAAAGGAAAGTGTGATTTGCCGCCAGACGGCATTCAAATCTGCTCCAAACGCCGAAGTCAGCCAACCGACCCGCACCAAAAAGATAGAAACAGACGCATATAACCCTCAGGTATGCATACAAGTAGGTACTAGCACACACATATGCTTACATAGCGTTCGTAGAACACGTGTCATTTGCAGAAATGGGCCACGGCGCGATACTCACTTAGATGGAGCGCGAGATGGTGCTAGCACTGCGAGCCCATGGAATGTCCTATAGGGCCATATCCAAAGAAGTCGGGCGGTCAATTAAGGCGATACACGTTCCTTAAGGACGTTGACGCATATGGAAGGAATTTCCACGGTCGCAAGAAGACCAAACTTGTTGGTCGCGATTATCGACTCCTCGTTCGCGAAGCTTCCAAGACTGGCCTTAGTGCCGGAAGCCTCAAAACATCCCTCAACCTCGACGTGTCCTTAAGGACCTGTCAGCGTCGCCTTCAAGGCTCCGAAATTCTGTCGTACGACAAGCGTAAGCATAC